GCGGCTGTTCCCGCGGTGGGAGGCGCGCGTGGACGGCGAGGGGCGGCACGTGTACCAGTGGGCGGTGGGCAAGAAGGTGTGGCACTGCTACACGCGCATGCAGGTGCGCGAGACGCAGGAGGAGGAGGGCGCCACCCCGCTGCCCCCGCGAATACAGCTCTCCACCACGCCGCGCCCTGCCCAGCCCACCCCCAAGCCCGCACTGCCCACCCCCCGCCTGCCCGCTCCCCGGCCTCCCCCCCTCATTGCAAAGGCCCCCTCTAGAAATTCGTCACCGCGGCCCCCCTCGCCCAGCCCGCCTCCTGCGCCGCGACCCCCCTCCGCTGCTGCCTCCAAGCGGCCGCGGCCCGGCACTGCGTCCCCCTCCGAGGAGGCGCCGGTTGTGTTCAGCTTCGAGGGCCCCCCACCCGGCTGCCGGCTGACCCCCGCGCAGGAGGCGGAGGTGATGGAGGTGGTGCGCGCGCAGGGGTGGGAGATCCGGCAGGAGGTGCGCAAGCACGGCATCAGCGCGGGCCAGGTCGACAAGTACTACATGCCGCCCAACGGGGACAAGCGCCTCACCAGCCTCCGCAAGGTCCGCCCCGCCGCCACGGCCTCCTTGCCCCGTTGCATCTTGATTCACTGTGTTGGCGAGAGTGGCCCGTGCGTACTTGTCATTCGCTTGCTGGCATGCGAGACCTTCATTGCAAACCCGAGTTGTGCAACTGATAGAAATTGGTCTGCATGGTGCGCACGCGTTTCCCTCTGCTTTAGGCGCTGATGGGCCGTGGTGGCCGTGTGTGGTGCAGGTGTGGGAGTACTTGCACTTCGGCAAGGGCGCCTCCGGCAGGACTGCGCGCGACCGCAGCGCCGCGGGGGCCAGCACCAGCGACCAGGTGTGCGCCACGCCCAGCGCGCCTGCTGCCAGGCGCCATCGGGGAGGGGGGCGCATGCTGTGCGGCTGTTGTTGGAGTCCTTTCCGGCTGCGACTGGGTCTGCTGCCTTCCCGTGTTGACACCGGCTGTGCGGCGTGCTGTGTGCGTGCAGGCGGACTTCGACGCGGCGCGCGGGGGCGTGGCGGCGCTGCTGGCGGCGCAGGCTGAGGTGGCGGCGGAGGATGCGGCGGACGGCGCGGCGGAGGCGGGGGAGGACGACGAGTGGGCGGCGCTGGGCGTGGGGCAGGGCTTCGGCGTGGCCGCGGCGGAGCGCGTCAAGAGGCGGCGCAGGAAACCGGGGGGCACGCCCGGCGCTGCGGTGAGGGCTTACCGTGCGTGTGAGCCGGCCGTGCTGCAGGCCGTTGTGGGCAAGTCTGTGTCCGGCGCTTGCTGCCGTGCTTGCTCCTGCCGATCGTGCGCACCAGGCTGGCCGCAGCCGGGCCCGACCCGCCCCCCTCTTTTGTGGTCTCTCCAGGCCCCGGGTGGCAGCCTGGATGACGGCCCCCTGGCGGGCAGCCCCGGCGCGCTCCCCCGCCTCCCCGTGCTGGCACTAAGCAGCCCGCGACCATCCGCAGGGAAGTCCACCGACCACACCGACGGGAGCGGCAGAAGCAGGACGCTGACGGACCTCCTCACGCCGTGAGCCGGTGAGTACGCGCGCACAGTCGGGCGAGCATGGCGGGGGTCCCCCCCGGGGGGTCGCCATCGTGTGGGCTGCCAGCCATGCGTCCAGATACAGCAGCCTCAGGGTGATGACCCCTGGCCCACCGCCGGCTGCACCACGGGCTGCAAGCGCGGGTCGTCCTTTTATGTCGTCGGATGTCGCCCACTGCCCAGAGCGGCGTTCTGATGGGAGCACCCTCCTTGCAGCCCCGCCATGTGAGCCACCGGGTCCTGCAGCATGCCTGCTTGGTGGCGTGACGCCGACGCGGCGCACATCCGGGCCGGCAGGGAGGAGGCTGCAGAGATACTCTTGTCGCCGAGTGTTGGACGGCACTGTGTCATAGCGGTCGTTGTAAGGCAGCCAGTGTCGTGCGATTGTGCACTTGGAGAGCTGGAACCCAGGCAGCCTCACGAAGTTGAGGACCTTCACTGCGTGTGGCGATGTACTATACCGTAGCTATTCTTGTAAAGTCCTACTAGTGAGCACTCTTTACGGGTCAAATCTGCTCAATGCCTCTCACTACACTGCAAAATTTCACAGAAGTGCAGGTTGAGAAGTCGTCACGCCCGTCGCCTGTTGCATCATGTGATTGTTGTCAATGACAATGGGGTGAAATAGTTTGAAACATCTCGGAAGTCTGTAACCATGGTTGCCACTCCTCCGCTCAACCCAGTAATCCTTCCTACCTGAGTAGACCCAACTGTATGGTATGGTAGCTGGTTGCGCGAAACACTCAAGGATGATATGTAAGCTAGCGCTGCCATACAAAGTCTTCCGACAACTGAGCGGCAAATTGTATAACTGAGTATATACAAGCAGATCTATTGAAGGTCCCACTTAGGCTAAATTATGACCGAGTACGTTCAGCTATATACCTATCTCACGTTGCAGTCAAGATAGTGGGATGTTTTGATTACAACTATCATTAGTCTAGTATACGGTTCGCCGAGCTCAATTAAACCCGGTTGTCACGCGGTGCCTCCAGATCTTCATATAATTCGCAATGTGAAATGCGCCAGTATATGTACATTCGTGACCACTAGCTATTACATATATGCATGACTCAGAGCTTAAGAACAATAAGCCGAGCCTGCCGGCCGGCCGCGCCCCGCATACAGTCGCGACTATGTATGCATTGCATCATGCATATCTAGTTAGCCCAAGCTAGCCGCTAGCTTGCGCCGGCTGTTCATATACACCGCAGCTGCATCGGGCCAAACTCGATCGATCTCACCGTCGCGGCTGTCGGGTTGTAAGTACATGGAAAAGCGCCTTGATGCGCATGCTATAAGTGAGGTCGGACATCACTCAGTACGTACGTGCCGGGATGCAAACAATGAATGCCAGATGATGCACGCTCCGCCTGACCCTGTCCAGGGCCCAACTTCAGCAGCTAGCTACCGAGATCCGCAGGATATGCACGATACTGTCACAGTGCGACGTCTGAGTCAACTAAGTTGCGAGCCTAAGTTGACCTCCCACAATGTGAAAGAGGGTTCTGGAAAGCTAGGTTGAGGTGTGGCGGCCATGTTGCAGATCAGCCAGGTGGAGCAACTTTCACACATTATTGAGTTTAGACTTCGCCTAGAGCAGCAAGATTCCTTATCACACAGTCGAAACTGGGCTCATACATTTACAAAAGCTATCCAGTGTGAAACGTTGCCGCCTGGTTTTGCAGAGAGGTATGTATTCTCGAGTCTGCCATATGCCTCTAGCTACCTGGACTGACACCTTGCGACATCAATGAACACCCTTGCTTCCGTCTTGACGACGCCCTCGTTTCTTTCAAGAGGCGAAGATCGAACATGGCTGTCAGCTGCACAATGGACGAACACAACACGTCACTGAGGCGACATCAGGAAGAGGGGGGACCAAGCCACGATAAACAAGGGCCACGTCCCATCACGACACTGCAAGACCGGCCCACACCCTAAAACCCTTCGAAGGACCAAACCACCGCCGCTCATTGTGCCGGAGGGTGCCCTGCTGGCACGCCCTTCTGCTTGCTGTTCCCAACAGCACATCCAGCTCGCACGACGGCTGCCCCACAAGCACGCGCCGGCAGATTGTTCCACCCCGCGTGCCGTCACTTGCCTGCTTGCCGCGCAGCCCGATGGCCGCCAGGTCGTCCTTGCAGTGGAAGACCGGCCCTCCGCCGGCGGCCTGCCGCAGCGCCAGCACGGCGTCCGCGCGCCGCGCCCCAATGCCGCGCAGCGCGAGCAGCTGCGGGCGGTCCCCCGCGTTCAGCACCGCCAGGCACTCCGCCTCCAGCGCGCGCTGCACCACCCACGCACACGCACACGCACACGCACACGCGTCAGGCTCAGCACACCGCACTCCCATCCACTGCGGACCGCGCGCCTTGTTGCTTGCAGCAGGCATGCACGTTGCAGCCACAACAAGCAAGTGCGCGGACAAGAAGCCGCCTGCTGGCGGTCTGCCTCATTAGCGAGCGCGCGCAGGTGCAGGGCGGAGGAGGTGCTTACGCTGGCCGCTGTCTGGACCTGCCGCAGCTGCTGCAGAGGCGTCCTGCCCGCGCACCGTCCCGCCGGGCTGCAGGCTGTAGGGGAGCGCGGGGGGGTGGCGGGGGGCACGTTCTCCTTGCCGGACTGGCCAAACTCTGGCAGCACGGGGAGAGCAGACACGTCAGCCGGCGGCAGATGCGCAGGCCCAAAACGCGTCCCCGTGCACAACTCCCGAACGGAGGAGGCAGGGGGGCGAGGGCGGTCCAAGGCGGGCGGGGGACAGGGTGTACGGAGATGCCAACACGTGTCCCGATTGGGAACATTGGACCGTCATGTGCAAGCCCATGAGTGCCGGCCTGCCGACAAAGGATGCCCAACCAGAAGGCAAATGTTGCAACACCGCAGCCCCCCTGTCCCGTGAGCCCCGCGGCACCCCCGCTCCGCGCGCACCGGCCTCACCTAGATGCGGTTCGCGGGCGGTCCCCCCCGCTCCGTCCGGCCACAGCGGGGTGCCCTGCTGCTGCGCGGTGAGCGTGGCCGGGCAGCGGTGCGCCAGCAGGGCCTCCACGTGGGCCAACCGCGCAGCCGCGTCTGCAGGGACGGCCGGCCCTTCCGGCGGAGCAGCGGAGGGGGGACTGCGGGGCAGAGAAGGGCGTGGGAAGGGGAAGTGGCCCGTGGGCAGCGGGCAGGCGGGGGAGAAGGGGCAGCGAGAGAACAAGAGAGCAATGCAAGGAGGGCACTCTTGATCGTACACTTACTCAACCAAGCGGAACCGATCGCTCGGAACAAAATTGGGTGCGCAAAGACAGATAGAAACAGTTGAATCTTCCTAGCGTAGAGCCTTTTTACATGACGAGGGTGACTACTGCGAGGGGTGCAAGAGACGAAACATTGATGGTACTGCTTCACCAGGCTGGAAGCAGGCCAAGGACGCACGACAGCCAGCAGAGCAGCAGACACCACCGCACACTGAGGATCGAGCCGACCTGGTCGGCAACTGTGCGCCGTGCGGCCTCCTCCTTCTTGTCCTCACCTGGTGGCGTGCGGGGTGCGTGTCCGGCGGTGCGGGGAGGCGGGCGGCCGGGGGGTGCGCCCCTTGGCCTCCTGCCAGGCCTGCAGCGCGGCAAGGCGCTCCGCAGCACGGCCGAGGGACGAGGGCGGCGCCGGCTGCTGGTGGAGGCGGGGAGGCGGGGCCGAAGGGGCGGCCGGCGGCGGGAGGCGCAGCTGGCCCGTGAGCCCCGCAAGGGCCAGGCTGGCGTGCGCAGCTGAAGCATGGCTTCGTCCGGGGGCCTGCAGCAGAAAGCGGGCGTGTGCGCGTGAGGACGCTCCTCCCCAGGAGGCGAGGCCGGCAGCGGGACACACGGAGGCAGGAGAGGCGGACAAACAGCCGCGATCACACGGTGTCCGAGAGGCTGTGCCTGCTTGCAGACATGGCAGCGAGGGCGGGCAGGGCGAGCAAGGCGGGCGTACCAGGCAGAGCAGCAGGAGCGCGCGGCCGGGCCCAGCCAGGCTGCTGCGCAAGAGGCGCGTGAGCTTGCTGTCGCGGTACGCCACGTGGGGCTGCCCTGACGTCAGCCCGACGAGAACCTGGCAGCCGAATACTGCATTAATAACGAGGCGGTAAAAGCTCACGAGACTGCTGGGACGGCATGCGGCTCCGAGCGCCCTCGCAGCAGGAGGAGTAGAGGGAGAGGCCCTAAGGGCGGCTGAAGGATGCCTGTCAACAGCTGCAGCGCAACGTCAGGCCAGCACGCAGGAAAAGTTGATTCGAGAGTAGCCACAAGGTGTAGGCGCATGAGGCGTAAGGGTCGTAGCCAGTGCGTGTCGTGAAACTTCTCAGGGGCGGTGGGCAGGGAGCGTACCTTGTGGAGCGCAAAGAGCGACGAGTTGATGCGAGCACTCTCCCGCATGCGCTGGCCTTCATTCCCGGTGCGCCTGTTGTCCTCAAAACCTGCACACCCGGCCCACCCGCAGTCAGTGAGGCGTTCCCACGTAGTCTCAGGCAGGACCGTGCAGCTACGCGCGTCGACAACGCCGCGGCAGCAGGTCCGTCAGCCCGCCACTCGTGTGGCTGGTGCCAGGGCTGGTGCGCGCCTCCTCTTGGGCAGCCCCCCTCTGGCTAGGGCGAGCGCAGTGCGCGGGGTCGCACCTGCCAGGTCGATGAGGGTGACTTGCGCGGCGTGGGGCGCCGCGGGGGTGAGGCTCAGCACGCTGTGGCTGCGGCTGGAGGCGGCGTTCACGCCTGTGGCCGCAGTGTGACGCGCCGCGCAGCCGGCCGCCCACAGCGCCACAAAGTCTGCCGCACAGGCCACCGGGACCTGCAGCGGGGCGTAGCAGGGAGAGAGCTGGGGGCACGGCAAGAGATGCCCGCGGCGCGGTCAGGGTCACGGACACGAGCTGACAAAGGGAGCCTTTGTGTCGGTTTTGTATTTGTGAATCTGTTGAGAGGTCTCCTTGGGGTGCAGGTTTTGTGTTCCCCAAGGTGCCCACAACCAGTCAGGGTATGCCGGGGTCAAACAAGGTGAGAGGAGAGAGGGGGGGCCTGATCAAAGCGCATGCGTTTTGGCATGCGGGCCCGTTCACAATGCGTTGGAGAAGCACCTGCGTGAGGCCTGGCAGGTGCACCCTCCCGCGCGCGTCCTCCAGCAGCGGCAGCTCGGCCCCGGGGAGCAGCAGGTCGTGGCACCTGCGAGGGGAGAGCGCTGGGCAGCATGGGGAGCGGAGGGAGCAGGAGAACCCCCACGAACGTGCTGGGGTACCATCAGGCAATCAGGCAGAGGGAGCGTAGAAGGTGGACACGGGGTTGTCAGAAAAGGAAGGCAATCTGTCCTTCCACTGGAAGGTGCACACGATTCAAAAACATCCCTGAAACGAAAAAGGAGACAGAGATCAAAAGCGCCACGCAGTGTTGGCGCCAGAGCTGCTCTCAGTCGGAGCTGCTGCCTACCTTATTAGACAGAATACCCGCAGGAGGGGTTGGAAACCAAGCAAGGGGAGACTAAATGCGTACTCGTCTAGGAAGCATGCAGCTTAGATGAAGGGGAGCACTCGTGGTGCTCCCGTGGGATGGGGGGTACAGGCAGGGCGACCAGCGGGGGAGGACAATGCGCGTAACAGTTTACAATCTCACGGTGACGTGGCAGCTTTGAGGCGCTCTTATTGGAGTGAGGCCCTGACCTGTCGAGGTAGATCTCCATGAAGGACACCCGCAACCCGCTGGACGCCCCCGCCGCAGCGGCCAGCCGCAGCAGCTGCTCCACCGCCAGGGGGGCAACGCCGGGGTCGCCTGCCGTGCCCTGCACACTCGCACCGCATTAAGAAGCGTCAGCCAGATGCGTGCGGGCAGGGGGCAAGGTGCCAATTGTGCCGCTGGACCATTTTTCTGGCCAGGCACGGGGGCGGGTGATGCACGAGGCAACATTTGAGCTGGGCGGGGCGTGCAGCGGCCTGTGTGGGAGGGACTCAGAGCGAGGCAGCAGCGACCTGCGGGGCGGTCGGCGCACCTGCATGGTGTGGCTCTTGCCGCTGCCAGAGGCGCCATGCGTGAAGATTGTGGCGGGGTGGCCGCAGCAGAAGCTGGCGCGCACTAGGGGCGCCACCTCCCACTCAAAGATGGCCCGCCCGCTTGCGCCCGCACCCCAGCAAGAGTCCACCCTGCGCCCAACAGCAATACTTGAATCAATCAAAATGAAACCCAACGCCGAAGAAGTCAAGGGGGTGGGCAAGAAGAGGCGGGCTGCAGTGGGCGCTACGAGTCGGTCTGTTACAGAGTTTCTGGGGGGGGGTGGCTGTGGTGATGCCGGCCCAGCCAACCGTCATCCTGGCCGGCCATCTGCCTGGGCCCCCCGCACTGCCGAGCCTCACCTGTACTGCGCAGCGGTGGCGCCTGCCCCGCGCTCTTCCAGCACGGTCACACAGCAGGAGGGGACATCGCTCCCCGCTGCCTCCGCCAAGCCAGCGTCCTCCCGGGGGCCGTCCTGGGGCAGCAGGGGCCGTATACGCACCGCTACGCGCACCTGTGCAAGCAGAGGCGCACAGCTATGGGGAACGGAGCCGTGCACTATGCTGGGCTGCTCAGACTGGTGAGATGCACACTCGGAGCAGGGCAGGACAATGAAGGACGAGGACACCCCAAAGCTCACCACTCTCTCGCTGTGTCTGAATGGCAAAGTTTCAGAATCCTGCTTACAACAGACTGCATCCCAGTCCCGTGCTCGCTTCTCCAAGCCTCATGAGCTGCCAACTCAATGGCTGGCCCATCGCAGCCTGGCCGGGCGCTATTGGCGCGCACCTTCTTTTCGGGGCCTTCTCCTGACCGGAAGGGGCCACCTTGCAGGTCGCCGACGGAAGTGCTGGGCGGGTCCATTCAGCACTGCGGGACAGTGCGGAAGGCCTTGAAGCAGAGACCACTGCGCCACACCCAATCACGATGCGCCCACAACATTTCTGCTGGTACACGTGATCATTCCGTGGTTTGCAGCGGGCTACTTTCCAGTCCAATGGGCAAACAGACCTCTGAGTCTACACGCCGAAGAGGCTTCTGGTCACGCAGAAGTCCACCGGTACATTTGAAGCCAGGCCTACGTAGTACGATACATGCCGGACAGGGTCAGGGAAGGCGGCCTGCACTCAACCTCCGTTCATCAGAAGCCTTCAGGACTGCTTTCGAAGTGCGAATCAGCTCTTGCGATGGAACATTGGGAGTGCCACACATTGCTCGCTTGCTTTGCAACGTTCCTTGCTGGACATTGATTCTGAATTCCGATGCAAGTGCTTGCAAGTTGCATTCATCTTCTGATGTTGAACCCTGGCCCTGGGCCTGCATGGGCCTTTCGTTTTCAAACTTATGATGTCAGCATCAAGCCTCCAGTGTCAATACGGGAGTAACTGGGGGTACGGTCCTAGGTTTCACATACGGGTATATGTAGGCCTAGCTGCGTAGGTACACATGTTTCATGGTCATACTCGCAATGAACGGTCGCAGTGGATAGCCGGTAGTATAAAATTGACACAAGCTACCGCTTTCAGGCGGGAATTCCATATGGCATGGGTGATGTCAGCAAGATGGACTCTAGAAGGGACTCGGAGGCGATCTTGGCCCTGTGCTGCTTGAATGCAACGCTGGTCGTAGTGTGGCGGCAGGTGGATAGGCAGGGACGCCAGCATTGCCCCTGCTTTTGCACTGACTGGTTGAGCTCGAGGGCTGCCAGCCGTGATTGCTGAGCCTTCAGGAAGCTAGATCCCCTCTGCATCGATTGCTAGTGGACCAATGCTGTGGTGATTGTGCCCTCCTGCTGCTGCGCACCCCTGCTGGCTGCCCTCCCCCGCCTCCCCGCCAATGGTGCCGTATCTGATGAGCGTCACGGCACTGCTGGATGCGCAGCTGCAGCGCATGCAGGCCTCAGTGCCGGCCCTGGACTGGGCGCTGCTGGGTGCATACGCAGGCCCGCTAGGCCGGGTGGCGCAGGGCTGGGATTGGCGCCTGCTGGCCGTCACACTGTGCTGCGGGTACCTGCTGTGGGAGCAGGCCCGCTACCTGCTGCGTGCGCGCTCCCTGCCGGGCCCCGCATGGGTCCCCCCGCTGCTGGGCAATGTGGTGGCCGTTGTGCGTGACCCGGCCGCCTTCTGGAAGAAGCAGGCTGCTTTTGGACCTCTGTCCTGGAACGCCCTTGTTGGCAAGTGAGTCCTGCCCACACCCTGAATTGTGGAGTGCCGCCACACCGGCCCTGCAGGCACCAGCAGTCGCTCCTTGCCTTGCCTGCCAGGGCCCCGTTTGCCCCGGTTGTGCAGGAAGGCCCAGATCTGCCGCCCAGGACCTCCTGCGGTCTGCGACGATTGGCAGATTGGTGAACAGTCTGAGCGAGTGTGTGGCAGCGAGAAACTGGGAGGTCGTTGACAAGGGACAAGGGGACAAGGGGGTTAGGGACACTGCCTGTGGGCTTGAGGTCCCTGGTCCTGCCGTGCGGGGTGCCTCCAGGGCTGCTGCTTTGAGCGCAGGGGCACACCGGTCTGCTGCTCTATCCACGCCAGTGGGGCAGGGGAGAAAGGAAGCCTGTTTTGACCTCCGTCGCCAAAGGTGCGCCAATGCATCGGGCCGCGCTGGTCTTGCTCTCTGGCGCCCCTTGGCCCTCTGTTTTGAAGAGCGCCTCGTGTGTGGGCGTGCGTGCAGGTACATTGTGTACGTTGCCGACGCGGAGGTGCAGCACAAGATCTTTAGCAATGTGCACGCGCAGGGCTTTGAGCTGATTGGCCACCCGTTTGGCAAGAAGATCTTTGGCGAGAACAACATGATCATGATGCGCGGCGAGCAGCACAAGGACCTGCGCCGCCGCCTGCTCCCCCTCTTCTCCGTCAAGGCGCTGGGGGTCTACGTCGAGATCCAGGTGCGCAGGGCAGGGCCACAGGGCCTGCGCTCGCTGGGCTGGCCACTGGCCTGGCGCCCGCCTTGCATTCTACGCCGATACAGACACTTGCTACGCAGTACAAGGAGGCTGAAGGAGGGGGTTACGGTGCTTATCTGTTCTGATGCTCATACACCCCCCAAAGTAACAAACTGAAGTGCCGAAACAGAAAGTCACCTTTGCGAGTGCTGTCCCCCTGCCGTACCCCCCCACCTCTCCCAGTCGTGCCTTGACCGAGGGCCCTTCTGTGCCTGGCTGCAGGAGGCCACAATCCGGGCGCACGTGTCACGCTGGCTGGCGGCGGAGAAGGCGGTGGAGATGCGGCCGCTGGTGCGCGCGCTGAACCTGGAGACGAGCCAGACCGTGTTTGTGGGGCCGTACCTCACCCCCGCCATGCGCGCCACCTTCACGCACGACTACGCCGCCTTCAACGCCGGCCTCATGGCGTTCCCACTAGACCTCCCCGGCACCACCTTCAACAAGGGCGCGCGTGCTGTTACCAGGCAAGCACCTGGCCCTCTCGGTAACCCGCCGGGCAGTGGACTCTGCCAGAAGCTGCCCACTCGGTGTGCTCGGGGGCTGCCGCGAGCGGGGCCGTGCGCCTCAGCTTCATGTACCCTTTTCTCCCGTGGCATCACACGCCCATCCCTGCACCTGGGCCCAGCTCCGTAGCTGCTGCTGCCCCGTGTGTAGGCCCCGGCCCTACGTCGGCACGGCGCTTTCCCCCGCCACGCTGCGGCGAGGGTGACCCTGGTGTGTGGTCCTTGGCTGCAGGATTGCGCAGACGCTGGCTGTGTGCGCCGCTGCCAGCAAGGCGCGCACGGTGGAGGGGACAGAGCCGGCGTGCTTGATGGACTACTGGACAGCGTCGCTGCGCGAGGAGCTGCACGCGGCCGCAGAGCAGGGGCGGCCCACCCCCGAGCACTGCTCCGACCTGGAGATTGGGCAGCATGTCTTCGACTTCCTCTTTGCAGCGCAGGTAGGCGCCGCACAATGGGGGGCCAGGACGGACATGCCGCAAGCTGTCATAGAGATGGGGAAGGCTGAGAAGCCGCTAGCGGCAAGGCTAAACACATAGCCTGCTGCTTCTGCAATGCGCGCTTTCATGCCGCTCAGCATCGTGACGCCATGGTTGACCACCAAATCTCGAAGCTCCCAGCTCGGGACACGCGTGCGTGGACCGTTCCATGCAAGAGGAGCCACGTCTCTCTCTGCGCAGTTCTCCGTTCTGACTGCCTGCGTGTGCCGCCTGCCTGCAGGACGCCTCGTCGTCGTCGCTGCTGTGGGTGATGGCGCTCCTGGAGGCCCACCCGGCCGTGCTGGCCCGTGTGCGTGACGAGCAGCGTGCCCTGCGCCCCGACAGGTGAGCGCCGCAGAGGGCAGCAGAGCCCGGGGACAGCCCCCTCCCCCTCCATGGCCACGGAATGGCAGCCGCCTGCACCCTGTTTCTGCTCTTCGCTCAATACCGTGCTGCTCACACCAAACCTGGCAATCCCGACAGCATGCATTCACCAAGTTTTGAGGCACCATCAAGTGGGTCGGACTGCATTCGTGAAGTCGCGGCCCCCCCTCCAACCTCGTTCCCCCCACACCCCCCAAGCCCCGCCTTCTCCTTTCCCCCCCCCCTCGTTCTCACCCCAGCTCCCCAGTACTGCTCCTGAGTTCCTTCTCCTTGCGACCAGCCCGTCACCTTCAAAGGTCCGTGCAGAACTACAAATGCTTTTGCAGAGAGCCTGTTGAACTCCCTCCTCATGCGCAATATTTCCTCCACTCCCCCGCTAGTCTGCACCCTGACCTTCCGTTCTCCATGCCTCGCTTCTTTTACGTTACTTCGTTCCGTCTTGAATGCATGGACAGGTGTGCTTGGACAGCTTGGGCCACTGCTGTCTCGAGCACCTCCTTGAGCATCCTTCCTCCACGTGGCCGCGTGTCCTGCCGGCCATTGTGACGGTCTGACAACCGAGAACTCTTTACACTTTATCAGTCCGTTGTACAGATTCCTAAAACGCTCTGTTTGACCTCATCGTTGGCATCGCTGGCGTCGTTGTTCAAATGCGCTGGCCTCCTTTCCTTCCCTACTCGCCAGGGCTGATGCGTGCGCGTGGCTTGCTCGCGCTGCAGGGACGCCCCCCTGAGCGCGGACCTGCTGGCGCGCATGCGCTACACAAAGCAGGTGGCGCTCGAGGTGCTGCGCCTGCGCCCGCCCGCGCCCATGGTCCCGCACATCGCGGCCGTCGACTACCCGCTCACGCCCGACTACACCGTGCCCAAGGGCACCATCGTCTTCCCCTCCGTCTTCGACGCCTCCTTCCAGGTCAGGCCCCCCCGCTGCGGCGCACAGCCCCGCCGCTGGTGAATCACCCAGGGGTGGCGCTGTGCTGCGCGACCAGGTCTTGTCACCGTCTTTGCGACCCTACGCCTCAGCCGGCCATCTGACGCGCCGCCCGTGGCTCGTGGCAGGGCTTCACGGAGCCGCACCGCTTCGACCCGGACCGCTTCTCGGAGGAGCGCCGCGAGGACGTCCGCTTCAAGCGCAACTGGCTGCTCTTCGGCGCGGGGCCGCACCAGTGCCTGGGCCAGCGCTACGCCATCAACCACATCATGGTCAGCACAGCGGCAGCCCCGGAGGGGCGAGGACAAAAGGGAGAGGGGATGCTCTCAGGACGAACCCTTGCTCGCTTCTGACCGCGAAGCATGTGCAGCGCCGTTGCCCTGTCTCCGCTCATCCATGATGCGCGGCCGCACACCGCAGCTGACATTGCCGGGGTCGTTGGCGTGTGCGCAGGTGTTCATTGCGCTCATCAGCTCGCACGTGAACTGGGAGCGTGTGCGCACGCCCGGGTGCGACGAGTTTGCGTACCAGCCGACCATCTACCCCAAGGACGGCGTGCACGTCACGCTCAGCAGCAGGCCCGCCATCTAGGGCGCACCGCTGCGCCACAGCGCGAGGCTCGCCAGGGCAAGGCCGGTCATGGGGGGCTTCCTGGGGCGCATTGCAGGGGGAACGCTAGGCTGTCAACACCGAAAGATAAGCAACTGTCAATCAAGAGGGCCCAATATTGTCGAGATGATGTTGAAAGTGTTTCTTGCGTTAAAATAAGCAGGGGGCAGTCAATTGTGCCGCCCCCTCTTCAGGCTGATTCGCCTGAGATTTAGCTAGTGCATACGATTTACCTAAGTTACCTAGTTTGAGTTGAGCAAATCATTGTCTACTTTAGGACTGACGCCACGTTTCTAGACAAATAAGTAGCAGCAACATTCTTTTGGATCCATAGATCGTTCCTAGCTGGTCTGTTGGGTCCGCGACATTGTCGTCAACGAACGAGTGTGAATAACCAGTGGATAAGTTATGCATTGCACACTGAGCATGTCAGAAAGATGGTTAACCTTTCAGATTCATCGGCCACACCATTCCCTTCAAATCAATGATTGTTGGCTGGGCAGTCCGAGGAGTCAATCATCAGGCCCGACTCAGAACTTGCCAGTCACGAACGGAACTTGCTTGGGTTGCATGCAATATACCTCTAGCTCATTCAATTATACCGCACTCACATATCTCATTAATTTCTTACGGCGCGGCCGAGACTAGCGCGCATGGACCTGGCATCTGGTCAAAGACAACAGTGCAATTAAATTAAAGACATTCAGCACGGTTGTAAGTTCCAGAATAAGCGGACCATCGATCTTTGTAGTGAGGATCGAACGAGGACCATGACTCACTCTAGGCGACAGTGTATATGGTATGGCTGCAATTTCTCGTTGAAGCACGCGTACACGTATACGATTGAAACTTATCTGAAATCGGTCCGCCACCTCATATCATAGTATATGATATGCATGTATACTGAACGAAAGCTAGTATATATATTGTGAGCCAACACGATGACCTCGCTATAGATCTGAATGTGTTAATCGGATCGGATCGAACGTGCCTGGCCGGCGCGAATAAGTTAGGCCAGCTATATGCGGTTAGGTACACTCGCTCGAGTTGCCCGGCATTCGCACAGCTAGCTAGCACGCATGTGGCAGTTCTGCCTTGTCTTCGGGCATGGATCAGTCATGCTACCCCTGTGAGTACGTCGCGAAGATGATTTGATTGGACTATATAGTTTAAGTTAGTTAATGTACTCCATTCTCGCATGCATGCATGCATATGTCGCAGGTCTATGCAGGTAATGGGCATGATTATTCCAACGCGGGGGCGCTACCGTCATGCATGTTTGTCTGGCCGATTGGCATACATATTCGACGCACTCTTTACCGTGCGTCACTGTCATGTGAGCACGCAGTTAATTGATTATAAATATATAGGTATACCGTAGTCCAACGTGATGATTCCGAATAAATAAATAATTATTCGCATTCGGAAAGTCAGAAATTCGGATTTCCCATTCGGAAAGTGAAATTTCGGAAAGGTAAAATGACCCTGAAATGGTCCTCGGAAGCTGGAAAACTTCCAAAAACAGCCAAAAACTCCCCTTTTAAGTGAGACCATAGGGCATTCGGATTGTTGTCGGAATAAGCGTAAATAATTTCACTTTCGCATGGTCGGATTGTTGGAAAATAATTCAAAATAAAATCGTTCGGAATCATCACGTTGGACTACGGTATACTGGTACGCGTGACCGAAAGGTATAATCAAAGCGGTGCACCATGCAGTTTAATATGCAATTTAATGGTGTTGTCTAGGAAATAGTATATATACCGCTGAGCCTGAGCGCGACTCATACCGTAGTAGTGCATGAAGCACGCGCATACACTTGGATCCGAAGGTAACTTCTGGTTTCTCTACCAATCATGCAATGATTGAACGCCACTCAAGTTTTTAATGGGTTTTAGGGCTCAACCCACATTGAGCCCTAGAGCACATACTAGACGGTCAAGGTCGTAGGTGGAGCTTTGACAATTATATTCAAATGATCACTGTGGTATCATGTGCGATGCATTGCCGCGAGAGCATGGGGCAAGTTCGCTTCTCAGGCAACCTATATTGTACATGCATATATGTAGGCAAGATGAGCTTTGCCAATTGATGAAATCTTGCGCTTACGAATACCAAGATCATGGCCGGCAATTTCAATTGAATCGAATCGACCTTAAAGCTTGACAAGCCACAGGCCAGGTCAATTGCCCATGATCAACAACCTTGACCACCCGCGAAATTCCGAAGATTTGGCCAGCGGACAGTAGAGTCGCATCGAATAGGCAGAAACTGCTCATGCACAACTGCTGAATACGAGCACAGGGCTCATGCAATAGTCGAAGTGCGGAATTTCAAAGATGTCCTTCCAGAAGAAGATAATGGCGATATAGAACAAGGTGCCAGCCACAGGTTTTAGCAAAGGGACCTTGATGTGGTAGGTAGGGATTGCACGAAGCTGATACTCCGTAAGAGGACACATTGCTATGATAAAGCTCCGCTGGTCTCTAGTCGGATACTGGTGACGCCGACCGGGCCTTAGCCTGAGAGGAAGAGAAAGAGCTGGCTAGGAAGTGATCGTTAATCAATCTCTTCTAGGAGACCCCTCGCCTGTGTACAGCCTTGTTCGAGATGAAGACAATTGCAGCAACCAGAAGTGCGCCACCCCCATGCTCGCCCGCCTCCGAGCCCCGGCAGGCCCAAAAGCTGACGAGTGCAAAGCACAGCAATACTAGAGAGGGTGCGGTCCTACCACTCATCCTACTCACCGGAGAGCGTGATGCAGATCGGCTGCGGCTGCGGCTGCGGCTTCGGCTGCGGCTCTTTCGCCGCGGCGAGCGCGATGCGGACGGGCTGCGGCGGCCACCCCCCCGGTCCTCCTTCACCTGAAGCACGTGCAAGGCAGGGCGTGGTACACCGAGTCGAGCTCAGCTGTGTGCATGGAAGAGACACCGGGGAAGCATGCACGAGGACGGCCAAGCAGCGAGACACATACGCATGAGGACGTCCTACGGCGAAGCGGATGCCCATCAGCGGGGCGCTAGCGAGGGAGCATGCGGTGGGCTCACCCGGATGTAGGCCGAGGAGAAGGGGTTCTTGAACTCGGTGTCGTCCAGCTTCCGCACCTGCAGCGCCGCCGCTCAATGTGTGAGACGGGCAAACCGGAAGGGCGACGCGGCTCGTATCACTCCTTTTAAGCAGACCGAGAGTAGGACACACCGGAGAATGTGGAATCCTGACCACCATGGACCGTGCTAAGGTAAGACAACTTTCCTCTGAACAGACCGTTTAAAGGAAGCCCCAGTGGCTGGAAGCTGTGACAACGGCAGCGGGGCAGTCAAAGAAAAAAAGGCAGAGGCAACGGAACCACCCGACAAGGGGTCCGGCGATGCCTGCAAAGGTTAGCGGCTTCCAGCCCCCATCGCCAAAACGAGCAGCCCTGAGAGGGGCCTTGCAACTCAACAGTGGCCGCACGAGGTGGTTGGGCCGGTTGGTGGCCCGCTCACCGCATAGCGCATGTCGTCCAGGGAGTCGTAGTCACAGATGCCTGTGCCTGCAGCAGCAGCAACAAAAGGTGCTCCAATACTCAGCTCCAATTGCTCGACTACGGGCCTGCCTCCTTGCGTGGACAGCCAAACCAACGAGCGCCTCAGCCCCGGGTGAGGCCTTGGCAGGGCAAGCCATACCCAGGGGATGCACCGCCGAGGACGTGCATTTTGTGGCGAGGCCCGTAGGGGGCGGTGCACAGGGGGCGGAGTGGCGCTCACCATCCCGAAACACCTGGGCGAATGTGACGGTGCCGGCCTTGCGCATGTGGTCCTGCAGGCAACGACGATGGGGCCTGTCTCCCAAACAAAAGTCGACAGCGGACCTGACCGTTGCTCCATATGAGCAACGGCGACGAGGACAGCAGCGCGCCTTACTACACAAAGCATAGCTACTTTTGCCAGTTCGAGACGACGAAGGTACAAGTGAAACCACGGGGGGGCAGCTTTGTGGGTGCTGGTTACCTTGAGGTCCTGCCAGGAGGCAGAGGGGGGCAGGCCAGTCACCAGCTGCACGCAGGAAACAGGCAGCAGGGATGCACACATCAGCGAGCGAAGGAACCAAATACCGGGGCTAGACCAGGGCACCGCAGCGCCCAACGAAGCTCTCTTGCATTGCCCGAACAAGCCGTCGCGTGTGTGTGGCTTGCAGCAGGCCGCAGATGCTGGCAGGAGTGTATCCCCTCACCACCCGGAACTCCGACCGGCGACTGGGTCCGAACCTGCAGGTAGGCGGAGGACTGAGCGGAAGCTGAGAGTTTCTACGATGGGCTCCTGCAGAGTGGTCCGATGTGCCAAGAAACTGTCAGCTATGACGCCGTAAAGACACAGAATACAAATGCACCGCTCTTTTTCGGGGCCCCATAATCCGTCATATATCGACCTGGGGTTTTTGAGTTGTAATCATCTCTCAACCCACTGTCTAAAAGCAAGCCTCCCATACCTCTCCCGCCCCTCCCCTCGCCCCCCACGCCCGTCCCCCCGGTCTCTTGACGCTCCGCTGTGCGCCAACTCGACGCGCAAGCGCTCACCATCAAACTCATATCCATCCCGACCCCGAATAGCGTCCTCTGCATCAGCGATGGTCTCAAACTGCACGCATCCCGGTCTCCTTTTCACAATTAGGCAGAGCTGCTGATGACAATATGACAAGCGGCTCAGCATAAAAAATAAATCATGCCATCGATGCCAAGACAATCTTGTGGATCCTTATCACGAGAATGCAAAGTGATTCAACTTCCACACTGACGGTATTCATGGCGCGAAGCTTACCTCAACGAATGCGTAAGCTGGGGGCCGAGGGGGGAGTTTTAAGTCAATATCAACAATCTTCCCATACTTGTCTGCACAGTCCAGCAGCATGGTGTTACTTGCAGCAAACAGCAGCAAACAAAGTCCCAAGAACTGCTCTCCATGGTTTTCAAAGAAGGCTGGCATCAGATTCTATGTTTGCATTTGTTGAAAGGAGTACCACCACTTGTCAAAGGCGGTAGGGAGAACATCTGATACTTACAGAAAATGTCTTCCACTTCAGACTTCCGGATATCCCCTGCAAAAGAAGTTACGAAACCAGATGTGCAAAAAAGGAATGCACGTGACCAGTGACATCCTTGATACCGATCTAAAACACGATACTTGCTGACTTGCACGGATGAAATTGAACAGAGGTACAGTACAGCTGATGGGCTCACTTGAAATCGAACAATGCACCCAAGTGGAGGGGTGCAGCTATTGCAGGAGCGGGAAGAAAGCATGCAATTGTTTGTTTCGGCACTTACCTGGCAGGTTGCCGACATAGATCGTTTTGGAATTTGACCGGCTCATGGCAAGGTGGAGAGAGAAACTGCATGTGAAAGCAGTGAATCAAGGGCAGGTTCAGGAAAGGAAGGGGCAAGTGAATGAGCAATTGCAGGGCACAAGTCTAGACAATGGGTGCTTGCTTGTGAAATACTGCTGATCACAGTCAAGGGGAGCACCAAGGAAGAGCTCAGCACTCCGTCTGACCCTGCAATCTCCCCAGCGGACGCTCCTTTTTGCTCCCGCAGCCCAGGGGCGCACATGCTTTGCTCCACCTGACGCCATGCATGCCTCCCCTGCCTTTCGCTCCAGTGCTCCCAGCCCAGGGCAGAGAGGCCCCCAGTAGCACCAGGCACGGGAGCCTGGCATCTCACCTAGGGAAGTCGACAGCCCCTGAGCCCTGAGCAGCCAGCCACACGCCCTCCCTTCTCGATCGGATTTCAGCAGGCTTCTGTAATGCAGGATGTAGCCTGTAGTCTGTATACAATATAGGGCCTATAAAGATTAGGGGGCGCAGAGCGGTACGGTCAAGGTTTCTTGGCTCGGACAAGGTACCGTAGTGCCAAGGTATGATCCGAAATATCTGCCCCTCGGTAAGCTATGTATATTACCACTTTTTGGTTCGGAAAGTGAATTTTAGGATTGTAAAAACAATTTCTTAAACGCTGTCGGATTTCAAAAAGGAGAACCGGGTAGTTAGGATGGTTCAAATCTGGGGCAAAATAGGGCTCGGGAGATCATCCACAGCCAATTCGGATTCAGGGTCGCATTCGTTAAATATATTGGCAAAAAAGGTCGTCATTTTGGACCATTCGGAATCATACCTTGGCACTACGGTTTTTAGGTTATAACTTATAACCCTTGGTATGACTTCAGCACTTGATCAGGGTGTAAAATCATGCAAATCTTCGAAGCCAGCTACTTGGATCGAAAGATTCGAAACAAACCGCGACACCTGGGCGCCCGAGCTGCAATGAGGTCACTGGCTGCACCCGAGCTCCGCGAGCTGCTGCTGGTGTGACGAAAAGGCGCGTGAGTTGCCCGTGCCAACCTACTTGAAGAATGCAGATAGCCAGCCACTGGCCAGTGCAAGATAAGACAGTCTCTCAGACGAAGAAGAGACGAACTAACGTATTTGACAGACAGCGCTGCCATTGCCAAGTCTGATCGCTTGCAACCGTTTGTGCTCTCATTTGGGTGTCCCCTGTAGGCCTCCAGGCAGGGTCCAGGATCTGTCCAGTATGCTTGTGACCAGCTTTATATAGCGGAACTCATTGATGCTTGCAGTTTCAAAGATTTACTCTGCAATGGCACATGAGCCCCTGTTGGGCCAGCCAGCTGATACCAATGCCGAGACTCGGGGCAGCCTGGGACCGCGGCCAGGCTGGCAGCATATGTGGACGGCAGGGTTGCATTGGGCCAGGCGCAAGATTGTCTACCCCCTGGTTGGCTACCTCAGACAGTAGGTGTTTAAGTCATGATCTCTACGTTGGTTGTCCACGAATCTCTGATTGCATATTATACCCTGCCATGCTGCTGTTAGGATTCTGAACTCTGCCCTATGCACCTTCTGAGTTGGCTTTCTTGCTGTGGAAGGCAGGGTGACTTGCTGAAGCCCTCTGTTTTGCTTGGCAGACTCGTTTGACATTGCAGCCAAGAATGCAATCATATGCAACCTCTTCTTTTGCAGGGGCACGGAACCTCGATTGCTTGCATTTTCAGCATCGGTGGGCCTCACTTTTGGACTCTTCCCCATAGCTGGGCTGACGTCTGCTTGCTGCGGACTAGCAGCTTTAGCTTTGCGGGGAAGATGCCACATCCCAACCATGCTTCTCGTCAACATGGTTGTCACACCTTTAGAGCTTAGGTGATCAATTCATCCCACCTCTTCAACTTTACATGACTACTCATTTAGTACAGGTTGAACGCTTGATGACTTTTGAAATTGGTCAAATTTCAAGTTCTAAGCATTCAATTGTTTTTTTAACATAGAAAGCGTGGTTTCAAGGTTCGATGTACCATGTTTCTATCGAGCTTTTGTAGTCTTGGGTTAAAACTGATCCGTCAACCATTCTTGCAGTTTCATCATCCCGTTCATGCGCCTTGGTGAAAAGATTCTAGGAGCACCCGCGTTGCCTCTTGACCCTACCGCATTTTGGGACTTCATAACAGGCCACGGTTCAAGCAATCTTCTTGCGGCAATGAGTCATGCGGTGAGGTTTAGCCATCTCTGTTGGATGGGATCCCGTTTGTTTTACTAACTTGTAGCTTCTTTTGCAAGCTTCCTGTCTACATTGTGCACATGTCAACCTTTCTAGTTCAATGTCCAAACTCTTTTGGCATCATGTATGTTCCTCGCATTTATGCGAGCGCTCTTCATTTTTGATGCCGAGCATTGTCTTCTTTTGCAGCTTCTAGGATGGGCTACCGTCGCACCTTTTCTTCTTTACTTTTCATTCAGAGCATTGGTTCCTATTATGCACAGCTTGTCAAGCCATTTTGCGTCAGGCGAGCATTCCCCTACAACTGAACATTGTCAGCAAGATAAAGATAGAATATCTCCAGGACGAACTTCAAGTGTATGTAAATCTATCTCAATTCGCAGAATGGTAGAGGATGCCCATGTTGGAAGCTCGAAAGGAGTTGGCCAACAACAGTTGCATCCTTAGCCAGCTTGAAACATTGTTTTGGAAGGCTTATGTCATTTTTCTTTAGATGCGATCCAGCAATTGGAGAGTTTCATTGCAAAATCAGATTCTCTACTGGATAAACAGGGAAACATAAAAGTCAAAATGTAGCTAAAACCTTGATTGAACGCACTAATTGATTTTGAGGCTAGCTGTACAACGGTCCAAGCCTACATGCATTGCTCCCTTTGGACTGGGACAACCTGAGCACTTCTTGAAAAGTTGTCATGCGGCTCATGCCCTTCAAGGCGCTTTTCTCTTGGCACAACCTTAGAATCTATTTATTTACTGATTTATCGCACCATATCTACCCAAGTTGTTCTCTCCCAATCATGTGCATCAATGCAAGAAATGCTATCGCTTGTTCACCGGTAGCTCGGGAATCATCTAGCTTGCCACTTCTTTCCCCTATCATCCGAGCTTCCGAGCGGTACATTTCCTACATAGAAGAAGCCAAACTCTCCCGATCGAGAGTGGGCCCCCCCCTTCCTCCTTTCCTTTCCCTTTTCACCCCCCTGCCCAAACACCCCCCGTTTCAAGATTCAAATCCAGTTTTTGTTTTTGTTTTTGTTTTTGTTTTTTTTTTGTTTTTTAATTGGGTTTTGTTGTAAAATTTGAGGTTTTAGGGTTTTTTGGTTTTAGGGTTTTATGGTTTCTGGGTTTTAGGGTTTCAGGGTTTTAGGGTTTTAGGGTTTTATTGTTTTATTGTTTTAGGGTTTTAGGGTTTTAGGGTTTTAGGGTTTTAGGGTTTTAGGGTTTTAGGGTTTTAGGGTTTTAGGGT